ATTTCCTACTATTAAGCATATGAATAATTGTATTACATACAAACACTCCTACCATTAAGAGTAATACAATAAAAATAATAATTAAAGGAAGAAAATCGATGAAACGTAGATGCAGAGAAAGGATACTCAATAAAAAATAGTTTTTATTCAGCTATTTTTTAAGTGTCACTGCCTGGCCTGCACTCACCGTGTATTGTTTTCACTAAATGGCGTTTTATTTTTATTTTTTAACATAACTTGAAAATACTGCAGTTATCATGCTAAAATTTATTTTTTTCTGTACTAAACCGAACCTCCATTGTGTTAAGAGTCCAACAGCGTCCCTGCCTGAAACATTTGATCGGTTAAAACTAATAAATTGTCGCCGATCACAACACATCTCATCATTTTGCGCCACTACGACTTCCGGGAGGCGGGCTCTTCGCTGTGATTGGACGTTGCCCGAATACGCCCAAGATTGACAGCAGCCCGGCTTCCGGCTCATTCCGCTGTGCGCAGAAGTTGCTGGTCACAGGAGCCACAATGGCGTTTGTAGTCTCCTTCAGATAGGGCTGTGGATGATATTAAATCCACCAGCATCGCCCTAAATACAGGCCTGGTTGACTTCCAGAGCCATTGATAATAAACTGGAACATCTACTGCACACGAAAATACTATGATTTCTAAGCAACATTGAATTTATAGGGGATAAAACTTACATTAAAGGGAACATGTAAACAGTACCAACCGGGTCAAGTTTTCATTTTGTTCCGAGAAACGAGCGTCTTCTAATGAAGGCTTGTTTCTGAAAGCGAACAGCGTAATTCTGTGGAATAAAAACACGTTTACTTAACTTGGCACCGGACAAGGACAGCTTTCACAAAGGGACTTTTTTCTTTTTTACCCGTCAGCTCGCTAGCTGCCGAGCGTTAGCTAGCCGGGCTAGCTAAACTGAGACGGACACGGCCGCACAATGCTGCGATATTTGGATCTTTTTTTCATTCAGTGACTAAAACAAAGTTCGCAGCTCCGGAGAACCGCTGTGGGGCTTTTCTGCGTGGAATGAGGCGGCGCTGAGGGGGACTGGACGTGAGCGGCCTGCTGTGTTTATTTTGCCCTGTTTCTGCTTTGTAACACTTGTTTTTGGCATTTGGAGTCGCTACTGTTCTCCTGTGAATGAACCGCCGAGGCCCGGTCGCAGCGGAGGCACCGTGAGGGATGCCTGGGTCGGACCGACACCATGGGACCAAGAGGAAGCCGGACTTTAGCATCGGCGGTACGCCACACCAGAGCCAGACCCCGGGCCCGACTCACAGCTCCGCGGGAGACATGACGAGCAAAGAGGTGCAGTTAAAATCTTCAATGTCTTCTTCTTCTTCGAAACGTAAACGGCATAAATCTGCTAAACATAATCGGGAATCCTCGGCGGCACCGGGACCCGAAGATTTTACCCTCGGCGACACGGCGCCGCCTGGTGTCAACGCCGTGAAGCCTCTGGTGGAGTACGATGATATCAGCTCCGACTCGGACACGTTCTCGGACCCGCCGTCCTCCAGGCCTTCCGAGAGAGGGGGCGTGGACCGGCTGGAGCTCTCACCGGACTACGACAGGGACGATATTGGCAGAGAAGTCGGCAGCAGGGGGCACAGACACTCCCGGAAGAAGTCCAAGGATCCCAATAAAGTTAGAGACTCCGGGAACGGGGAACGGGGCTACAAGAAGCGGGGCAGCAAGGACCAGGAGAAGGGGGCTACTGGGAAGAGCAAGGACCGGGCGGCGCTGTCGGGCTCCTCGTCCAAGCGCCAGGTGCAGCCGGAGGGCGACTCCAAACGTGGGGAGCTGATGCTCACCTCCCAGGTGCAGCCTGCAGCCAGCGTGGGCAGCACCACCTCATCCACATCCTCATCCCGCAGCAAGGAGAGCAGCCGCTCAGGGAAGTCCCGCAAAGACCGGCAGCAGCGCAGAGAGGGCCGGGGGGAGGGCAACCGCAGCTCCTCCCAGAGGAGCAGGGCGGACAGGGGCCACCGCAAGTCCTCCAAGAGTCACAAGTCGAGCCCTAAGGGCAAGTCTTCAGGTAGGGGCAGCCCTCGACGGAAGGGCTCTGCTCTGTCGCCAAGTCCCAGAAGAGGGGCCGGCAGTGAGAGTCCACTGGGTGGTGGGTATGGGCAGCAGGGGGATGACGGCTACTCCAGGCGGAGGACGGCCCAGCAGAGCCCCAGTCCCTACGGGGACATGTCCCGCCGCAGCAGGCAGAGGTCAGAGAGCCCCTACGGCAGCAGACACCGGTCCTCCAGCTTTGAGAGGGACAGCAGCCCCTACTCCAGGAGACGCTCCATCAGCCCCTACGGTACCCGCAGGTCCTCCAGCACCAGCCCCATGTCTCGGTGAGTATGATGTAGGGTGGTAGATCCCAGCCTAAAGCCTCACGCTGCAGGCCAAACGCTAAACAAGTCACAGACAAGGGAGTGCATTTGTGTAGGCGTGAATTTTTGTTGCCTAAAGTCAGCTTCCTAAACACATAGTCCACTAGTACCCTGTATGCAGATGAAAACCAGGGGTGTCAAATCACATCTATAAATTGGCACACTTCATATTGAACATAACCACATTACATTTACTTTCAAACACAACCAGCACACAGAAGTCGAGTCTCAGCGCTACCAGGGATTAGGGCTGTTCATGTCCACAGCGGATAGTTAAAAAAGAGTGACTAAAACTAAACGAAAAGTGGAAGCACAAAGTCCGGCTTCACAAGACGCATCTCCAGGTCTTTTCATTCATCGGCCATGCAGGGCTCAGTGGACCGACTAAAGCAAATATCTTGCAAACAAAACTTTAAAAAGGACAGCAGGAAATAGTGTTAGTGCACTGAGCAATCACTGTTAAAAAACACTGACAAAAAATAGAAAATGACCAGTCAAAGTAAAAACCATTTTTAATTTAAACCATAATAAACCTAACTGTGTTATTCTAATATGACTGCGGTGTGGACGTCTGTCACACAGCAACAAAGCGTGCGTCTCATTAAAAGTTGTGTGGCAAAGTCCAAACATGTACAACTGTTAAAAAGCTATAAAATGTCATGAAACGAGCTAACTCCTAGAACCTCAACAATAAATCTCTCACCACAAATCAGAGATTAAGTGAAGCCTTTTGCCTTCACAATCCCTCTGAAGTCACCTAATGTACTTTATCATTCTGTCACCTACCCCTGGAAACCCTCAGAAGGACTATGTTTTAAGTTTTTTTTAACAACTTTACTTTTTACTTTTTGATTTAGCATATATACGAAACACGGAAATAACCCAGGTGACACATATATTAGAGCAAAAACAAACAGCGTCACCATTTCTGGCAGTCGTAGTAACTGTTGGTTGTAGTACTCGGTTCTAGCAGCTCTATCTACAAGATACTGTAATGAAGAACATTTATAATTGCAATACTGATAACAGTGAAGGTGAAATCAGGCAAACTAATAATGGCAATGCAGACTGAAACAAGTCAGAAGGAGCTCAACAGCTAAAAGGAGGTAAAAGCAGCACTGATTTAGGAGAAGTTAAAGATAAATAGTTTCCAAACAAGGGGAGAAATTATTCTTTTTTTTCCCATTTCTCAAATACACGATCTCTTCCAGGTGAATGCAGCTCAACAGGTCATACAGACAGTTAATGAGTGGGTGGATGGTGGGAGATTTCCAATTTAAAAGTGCTATTAAAGTAGCGAATGCAAGAGCAGCCTTATGAAGACTTGAAGCTTTAGTGTTTTTTGTGAAACTAGTGGATATGGGTTCACCATCGAGCCCAATGCTACTGAAAAACAGCTAAGTACAGAAAACAAGTGGATAAAGCTTGAATATCTGAAACACAGGGTCTGTATCTAGCTTAATCTTTACTAGTCTTATTAGTCTAATATATGTCAGGGGTACAATGTTCTCAGAAGTTAAAAACATTCCACCTACACTCAGACACATGTTGATTGGGGAAGTGTAGACTATCAGTGGATTTTACAGAACAGAATCTACCCGTCAAGCTGCCTTTGGTGGTATTTTCCATCGTCCCAACACACTCTGACATCTAGTGATCGTGCATTATTGTGCAAACTGCTAAAAGGAAACTGTCTGCAGGAGTCAGAGCGTAGACTTCTCCATGTCAAAGTTTCTCCTACAACAGGAAAAAAAAAAAAAAAAAAAGCCAGAGGGTGAGAACATTTACAAGATGGAGGTTAGCGTCAAGACAGACAGGCAAGTTATTGCACAGCTCACCTTCAGCTGTTTTAGTTTCTGCAGAGCAAAATGTCAAGTAAACTGAACTGCTGCTGCTGCTGCTGCCACGCTGGTATGTAGCTTTAATCATCAGAGGCCCCGACATTTGTGATTAAATGTGAGTCATAGCTAAAAGTAGATAAAAGCCACAGATTTCTGAAAAGGCAAATTGAAATCAGCGTGGCACTCGGTAGTATCAGCACCTAATCTTTTTATTGATATTAGGATACACAGATTTTCTCCACCTTTTGCAAAGCCTGGCATAGTTTCTGGTTGAAGAAATAGAGGTGCATGTTGCAATTTAAAAATGAATTTAAGCAGGCAGAATAATGGAGTCCTAACATTTCGAAATGGTTTCAAAACAGCCTAAATGTCCTTTACCAACTTGTCTTGTTAATCATTTCAGTCCACTGGAAAGTTTTAGAACCATTTTTAGGACTTTCTTTGAACGGAGTTGTCTTTTTTGTTTTTTGAGGTTTTTATTAAATTTTTTTCAGGATCCCAATGAGGAGTTCCGTTTGTTTTTTATCAGCACTCTCCAGATTAGCGTGACCTGGGTGACTGAGAATTCACACGGACATATTTTTAGATCCAATATGTCCTGTTTTAAAAGCACCTGTTGTTTTACTCTTGGACTATAATTAGGACTGTAGCTAACAACTGTTTTAATTGTTGATTCATCTGTTAATTATAAAATATCTGAAAATGATTTTTTAAAAAACAAGTGGAATAGTGTTTTTCAGAGTCCAAGATGGCGTCCTCAATTGATTAAACCATTGAGGACGCCATCTTGTTGTCAACTATTGAATAATCAATTTGAGTAAGTTTGTAGGGAAACCAAAGGTCTCAATCCACTGATTCCAGCTTTTTACATGTGTGTACTTTCCTCTGAGTGAGAGGAAACAGAATATTTTTGCCATCATCTTGGGCTTTGGAAACCCCTGACTGATGTTTTTCCACCATTTTCTTACATTTCATCGACCAAACAGTGAATGGATTACTCAAGGGGATAATTGACAGATTAACTGATACTAAATAAAGTCAGCCGCAGCCTTTGTTTAGCTGCTAACTGTGTATTTCTGCCTCATCTATCACATTTACTATTGTTGTTGGGAGGATAAGGGCCGCGACTAATGATTTTTTTTTACATTGCCATTTAATCGTTGAGTTGTTTTGGTTGTAAAATGTCAGAAAATAGAAAAAAAAAGTCGATGGAGAAGACTTCCTCAAATGGCTCGCTTTGTCCACAACCCAAATATATTCAGTTTGCTGTTATAGACGAGGAAAGAAAATCAGAAGATATTCATATTTAATAAGCTGGAATCTGAAGATTTTGACTTTATTTTCTTTGAAAAATTAAGTCGTATAAAAAAAGTCGTCAGTAATTAATTAAATAGTTGATGACTCATCAGTTTATCAATTAATCATTGCAGCTTTAAGCTCTAAGTTATGCAAATGTAGTAATTTGTCTTTAATTTGTCTTTATTTCTGTATCAGAAAAGAAGAAAGAAACTAGAAAATGATCCAATTTAAGAAGCCGAAATAAGAGAATTTAAACTTCTTTTTCTTACAAATTGCTCAAACCAATTATTGAAGTAGTTGGACATTAATTTAAACAGTTGACAACCAGTCAAATCATCACGGCTCTACTTAGAACTTGATCAGTGAGCATTTTATTTTGTGACGACCCACTTCAAAAAGCCTGCAACATGCTTTATTCCCCTGGCCTGCCATAGAGGAGGAAAGAAAGTAGATGGAAGAGGAAATAGAATTTAGACTTATTTTTTCTTACAAAATAGCTAAAACTGATTATTGAAATAGTTGGAAGTGATTTTAAATGGTTGACAAGAAGTCAGTTAATCAATCAATTGATGCAGGTTTACTGATAAGGTCATAGGCGACCATTTTGTTTAGTGACTCCCCACTTAAAACGCCTGCAATGTGTTCTATCCTACAAGTTTATTGCCATTTCTAAAGATGTATTTGTTCTTTTCAGCCGCTCCGGCCGCTCCAGGAGTCGCTCCCCGCTGCCCTACTCTTCCTCCCGCCGCTCGTCTTCTCGTTCCCGCAGTAAGAGACACACTTCTTCTGGTGTAGCCGGCGGCAGCAGCCACAGCAGCCGACCAGCCAGCCGCTCGCCTCCCTCCTCCCGCCTGCCGTTAAACTCCAGCCTTGGAGCCGAGCTGAGCCGCAGGAAAAAGGAACGCCAGGCTGCCGAGGCGGCGGCGCGGGCCAGCGGTGGCGGTGCGTCGCCTCCACCGGCGACTCGCAAACCCACCGGCGCTGCGTCATCATTGCGGCCGGCTAAAGCTGAGGCTCCACAGTCGGACAGAGACTCGACAGCAGAACCTCAGCCGCCGCCATCGTTACCCCAGGACGCTGCCGGGGCTGAAGATCAGGTCACTCCAGCTCCACCTTCCTCCTCCACCGCCTCTCCTGCACCTCCTCCACCTCAGCCATCTCCTCCTGTGGCGCCCAGTCCAGCCACCCAGGCTCCTCCACCACCTCCACCTCCACCGCCTCAGGCAGAAATACATATTCAGCCTCCCACGGCCCCCAACGCATCCCAGCCCAAATCGCCAGCTTCGGTTCCTGCTCACAGCCCCGTCCGACAGACGCAGATGCACAAGACGTCGACTCTGCCTCCTCTGCCTTTACCACCTGTACTGCTGGGAAACGCTCAGGACAGGTGAGAAAGCCCCACCAGCCACACTGCATTATGCACTCTATCTCAGCTCGTCTCTTGTGTACTGTATGAGTCCACTTTTAGTAGTTGCCATACTGTAAAAAAGTTGAGAGCACATATTTGGATCTTGAGTTTCCTCAGTTTTCATTGCTCTGAACTCGCCAGCATGTCTTCTTTCAAAAGAAAATCACCAAATTACACCATTTATCAGAGACAAAAACTCTAAAAACAGAAAACATTGTCAAATTTTCAACTTTCCAACAGTCCTTGAACTATTTATTTGCAACCTGGAGTTTGTCAGAAAAATCTAAACTCGTGATATTTCAGCACAATCACTTTATTGTACATGCATTATTAAAAAATTGCCTAAAATAAAACAGTTCTTCTAATGAAATTTGGTTAGAATCAAAATAAAACAAATTTTTTTGTGTTCTCCGACACAACTGTGACGCCTTTAGTGACTCAGCTGTGAGCAACGAGACTAAAACTTAAGGACTTTTCAGTGTTTACACAAGTCCTAGTCTCTCATATGGTGTTCCATCGGAAAACATAACCAAATTTCTTTAAAATCGATTTGTTCTATATATATATAATTTATAAGTTTACCTAAAATAACTAACTTAATCTAACCTCAGCCCACCCTTAAAGGTCTTAGTGACTCAGCCATAACAGTCACATAACAAAAATTCAGGAGCTTTTTAGTGTAACTGCGTTGAACTGCAGCTTGCGTTTACACAAGTCCTTGAACCACTAATCTGTGATGTGACTACTGGACAGCGTAACCAAATTTAATCTCACAGTTGGGATATTTAATCAAGAATCCTTTCATTCTCCATGTCTGATTTATAAATTTGACCAAAAATAGCTGGATTGCTCCAACCAGACTCGTGACTAGTGTCTTAGCTGTGACCAACAGTCAACTCTGAGGTTATTCGGCTGAACTGCAGGCAGTGTTTACAGAGCAGACGGGAAACAAGGACGCAAATTATGTAGAGCCACCATTTCCCTCCCAGTATTGGTAACACCTTTGGGCACTAGGAAGAATTTTGTAAATGCTAATTAATTATTATTATTATTTTTTTTTTTTGTAAATGAAGTAGTCAAAGAAGTTCAGCTTTCACCTTATATGAATTTGGGCGTTATAACTGTCATACTGCACAGAAGACATTTTTGGCTTCTCATGTAGTCTAGCCGTGGTTGAGCTGTGTTCATAGAGGTGCAGGACTTTATATTGCAGTGAAAAATGAGGAAAAATGCAACAAAAACCACAGAGAAGTTGTGTACAGTTCAGACGGTTAAGCCTGTAGGGAAAAAAAACAGGAGTAATGATTTTTTTCTGACTCTCTTTTATTATTCGTCACAAGGTCCCTTTCACTTTTCTGTAAGCTAAACACTTATTAGTCACAGCTGTTGCCTGTACTGTGTGAAATTTTTAGATTAGTTTTTCCACCAGCTTGAATATAATTTAAAAGACTTTTCAAACATGTTGTTAGTTTGTCTGAAATGTTGTGTATTTTGCTCCGCCAGTCCAAAGAAGTCCACCCCTCCTCAGAGGCTATCGAGAAAGGAAAAAGAGGTCCGCAGTCGGCCTTCTCTCAGCGACCTTCCTTTACCGCCCACCCTGCCTGGAGGCGACTCCTCACCCCCGCAGTCCCCCATCCGCCAGCCGCCTCCGTTACCCCAAACAGCCCTAAAGAAGAGACCAAAGTCAGTTTCTTTATCACCCACACTCTTAGAATCAGCTTTCTGTTAAACCTGATTTAACTGGTTTTCTTTTGTTTCTAGGATTTGTTGCCCGCGATACGGTGAGCGCAAACATACCCAGAGTGACTGGGGCAAACGCTGTGTAGATAAATTTGATATAATCGGCATCATTGGGGAAGGAACCTATGGCCAGGTGTATAAGGCCAAGGACAAAGACACTGGTAAGCCAATGTTTTCTGCATTTCTGTCACTTACACTTGTGTTTTTTTTTATTCTAAAAGTCAAAATCCAATAACTAACATGACTCCTTCTCTAAATGTGCTTTTCTACCATGATAGGTGAACTTGTGGCTTTGAAGAAAGTGCGTTTGGACAATGAGAAGGAGGGGTTTCCCATCACGGCCATCCGAGAGATCAAGATCTTGCGGCAGCTCAAACACCGCAGCGTTGTCAACATGAAGGAAATCGTCACCGACAAGCAGGATGCTCTCGACTTCAAAAAGGATAAAGGTAAGGAGGGATAAACGTCTTCTGCCAGGAAAACTAACGGTAAACTCACGGAGCAGACGAGCGCTGTTTGTCTGAAACTGCCGGATGTATTTCTGGTTATCGGTGCAACGTTGGAGATGTGAAAGCAAAGCCGCTGCAGTTGTAGAAAGCTCAGGGCTGAATGATGCCATAAAAATAAAGCAAAGCACACTCATCTATCACAAAAAAGACAAACCTGTAAGAAGATTTTAATGAGTACAAGTTGTCCAAAAGACAGATTTCTACATTTGCATGCAGCGGAGGTGAAAGCTGCAAGAAGTAATTCATCATTTGTCAACTTTTAAGTTAGTTGTCAGTTAGTTTGATATCAATTTTAGTAATTTTTAAAAAGAGAAAAAGTCTAAAATCTCTGATTGCAGCTTCTTAAATGTATAGATTTCCTGTTTTCTTTCCTCCTGTACAACAGTAAACTCAATATCTTTGGGTTGGGGTCTTGTCATTTTTCTGACAAGCAAGTAGTCAACAGATTAAGTGACAATAAAAATAGTAATTATGTACAACAACAGCAAATAATAGACAGTGGTAGATGGGAGATGCAGACTATTACTACACTGGGGCTGCAACTAACAATTGTTTTTGTTGTTGGTTAGTTATTTTCTTGATTAATTGATGAAATGGTGAAAAATGTGGATCAAGATGTCCTTAAATGTCTTTTTGTCCACAAAGATGTTCAGTTTACTGTCACAGAGGAGGAAAGAAAACAGAAAATATTCACATTTAGGAAGCAGAAATCTGAATTTTGAGTTTTTAAAAAGGTCCTCAAAGTGATTCACTGATTATCAACATAGTCGGTGATTAATTTAATAGTTGACAACCTATTGATTAATTGATTGCATCTCGACTGACTGAATCGGTTTTATGGCCAAGTAGGTTGTCACATGCAAGGACTCTGACTCTGTTTTGGTGCATGAGTAAAACATTTTAAAAGAGGGATAAAAAGATTTTTTTAGTGTTACCAGGCAAATAAACAGCAAGTGGACCACATCCAAGGGGTGATAAGTACTAAAAAGTAATTCAAATATTGTGCATTAGTGCAGGAATGTGCACATTTATATCGTCTTGTATGGACAAGTTGATATGTTCAACAGGATAATAATTTTCCATCTAGAAATATTTATATATAATTTATAGTTTCATACATTGTTTGGCAACATTGGGATCAACTCAAAGATTTACAGCAGCTGGTAAACCCTTTGCACAACAAAAGCAGAGAGATAAAAAGGTTTTTCTTTTTCGTAGTCAACTCTAATCCTAATATACATCCAGTAATATAAGAAAAGCAGGAAAAACACAACAGTCAGGCCTGATATAATTAGTTTCATTAGTTATTTGGCAGCAGATACAGTTGCTGCGGTCGCTGTGATGATTCACTTCTCCTTTAGAGTTTAGACCACAGAGAGCAGTTCTGCAAGTTTCCCAGTGTGGCTTAGTGATGATTTACACTTTAATAATGTTGTGACAGAACACAGATCCACTGTTTCATTCCAGCACTCTGGCGAGAGAAGCACGTTTGAGGCCAGGTTGATGTTTCCGAGCTGTAACGTGTCATCACAGATGTGCGGTTCGTGTGTTTGTGATTCCAGGTGCTTTTTACCTGGTGTTTGAGTACATGGACCACGACCTGATGGGCCTGCTGGAGTCGGGCCTGGTCCAGTTCTCCCACGAACACATCCGCAGCTTCATGCGCCAGCTGATGGAGGGTCTGGACTACTGCCATAAGAACAACTTCCTGCACAGAGACATCAAATGCTCCAACATACTGCTCAACAACAGGTAGGGAGCAGAAGAAACACTGGAGAATCTGGTTCTGATCCCGATTATTAGTAGTCAAAGAGACCTACAACTGATATTTGGAGCAGATGTACAGCTGCAGTAAAATTTGGAAATGTTGGTGTTTAAGTCTCTAGTAGAAGAACACAAAACTTGGTTGAAATGCCTATTTTAACTCATATTTACTTGTTTTTAACCATTTATTCTTCAGTGTTGTGAGTTGATAGATCAGCTCAGTGGGCAGGAAGTTACGTCAAATCGAAGCGTTTTTAATACAATTTGATAAACGCAGCTGCATCAGAGCCAAAGTAGCATATTTTTCAAGTATTGGGAATCTGCTTAACCCTTTCAACACCATAGTCCACTATACCGGTTTGCGGCTTTCAACCCGTCTACCCTGCAGACCGGTTTAACGGGCTCCATTATATGGGGACTTTCTGTTACATTCATTTTGATTGTCTATCAGTGGGAATCCCCGTACGGGAACACGCGATTCAGTCATGAAATAAATTATGCAAATAGTCATAATAATAATAATACGAATAATAATCATAATACAACTAATAATAATTGCATACAGGGTTCTCGCCAGCGTCATGACAGAGTAACGGCCTGAAAAATTTTCACTGCAAATTGGGCCGATACGTTGTTTTCAAGGGTACGTAATGGGAAAATATTTCACAATAGGCGCCAATGGAGTTTCACTACCGCCGTCTTCGCCACTAACGCTGCTATTCGCTAGCATATTTGCTGCTAACTGTTAGCAGCATTCGCTAAGACCCCCACTGCCGCCGACTTCTCCCTCCCCCCATGTCGCCAACGACAACGACCCCCCCAGTAATTAAAGCCAAAGTTACTTCGTGTTGAAGGGATTAATTCATATTTTACATATTTTAAGCCACTTATTCTTCAGTGTTATGAGTTGATAGATCAGTTCTGTGGGCAGGAAGTTACTTGAAATCACATTTTTAGACTGTTGGGAATCTGCTTAAACCAAAACGATACCACAAAATGTTGAAAATCTGTACAATAATCTGCAGTAACAACTATTTTTTACTTGAATTTAGTTGCCTCAGCATCACTTCCAGGTTACTTTATCCACTATTTATTACCGTGTTTGTTTACTTTAGTCCCTCTAATCTGCTCAATTAAAATCACAGTAAAAAAATATCATCCGTTAAGTTGCATTATCCACTTTAATACCTTCAAATGCAGCTAAATACTGTCACACAATCGACTGCTACTTTTAATTATCAGATTCCAAGTGTTTCCAGGTGCATCAGCAGGAAAGTTAATCGCTTTTGTGCTAATTTAATCGCGCACTTGAAATAACAGCAGCGAAGGAGCGCAGCGACTCCTCACAGATGGTTGCTCGGCACAGTCGCGCATCCAAACTGCAACCATTACAGGACGCATGAAAACCGGAGCTAAATGAGCTGCCAGGACCAGAGACGCTAATAAAAGAAAAAGACAAAATGTGTGTTTTGCTGTGTAATGGAGCGTTGGGAGCCACACTGTTCGCAGTTACTGTACGGCTGACTTTAAATAGACGTTAGAATGGGAGCATTTGCACCTAATCGCTGCTGAGTTTGACCTTCTCTAAGTGTCTGTTTGCTTTTTACAGAAGCAGTGAACTGATACTTGGCGGTGTCAGTGTTTAGTGACGTGAAGTAGGCAAATTAGACATTTGGAGTAACGTTTTGGGCCAGAGCAGATGCTTTGTTAAGTTGAAAGTTGTGTTTTAGGGTGAAGTGAGCGACAATATTTCTATTTATTAATCCATTGACTATTTTACTGTTTAACTGTCCTGCAAAAAGCAACATGACCAGTTGATTAAAGTTGATTTGACAAACTATATGTGATTGTATAATGCACCATAGTACAAAATGTTTTAAAGTACAAAACTGTAGGGTTAAACTAGAACGTTAAAAACATAAATAAAAATGAAAGGACTTACTATTTAAACTGCCACTTTAAAAGAAAGTTTCATTTAAACCCTTAACACAGTGAAAAAAGTCCAATAAACAAAGTGGACATTGTGGATATTTGACAAGACGAAGCAGCTAAAGCAGCTACTCTCCTTTTATTGTCTATTTCTTTTTTGATGTTGGTAGTAGCTTTGAATTTTTTTTGATAATACAGCCAAATTCAGAGCACGGCCGCCATCTTTAACTGGTGTTTGGTGAGTTCATCAGACACGTTTGTGGTTATAAAACCAGGTTTTAGGCAGCAGAGCAGCTACTACGTTGTCTCATGATGCTGCGTTTCAGTCACTATTTCATTCTCGTTTTGTTGACTGACATCAGAAACAGCGAAATCTTTAAACGAGAAGAGCTTAATCAGGAATTCAGCTGTATTAAATGCAGTTTATGTGAGCACAGAGAGCAGGAGAGAAGCTACCAGATGTAAAGGTTCCTGCACGTCAGATGCTTCCTGTGTGTTTCCCTTCAGTGCTGTGGTTTACAGTTCCAGCTGCACAGTGTACAAACCACCTTTGTCTTCTGTGATCACTGGAAATACTCTCGTATTTTCAAAACTTTTTACCAACCTGAACCTCGAACACTGAGCCAGACTTGCTGAAACTTTTCTGTCGACTGTAGCTGACCAATGAGTGGAGCAAAAAAACCACGAACATTACAGTAAATTCAAGCCTTCTAGAGAAAAATATGTTGACTCATTCTAGCGTCTCCACTGTCTTTAATGTGCTGACTCATCTTGGCAGCGTGAGTTGACACTGACTGACTGAGTGTGTTTGCTTGGCACCGTTCTTCCTTATCTCACATGTTTGTTATCTGGGTTTCTTGGTACAGAGGTCAAATCAAACTGGCTGACTTCGGCTTGGCTCGTCTTTACAACTCTGATGAAAGGTAAGACGAGTAAATACGTGCTCTATGCGGAGGCTTTATCCGCTGGAGTCCGCACAGATCTGATCGGACTCGATGTGTTTATGATGATTGTAAATAAACCTCAGCATGAGTTTGCGTTTTCCCTCTTTGCTGTTGTTGTTTTGCAGTGATGCTCCACTAGATGGAGCTGTGACTCAGCACAGTTATTTATTTACAGATGAAGTGTTTCTGTTTGGACACTTGGGGGCAGAGGTGTTGTATGAATGTGAACTGACCTACTGTTGTCTTCCTTCTCTTTGCCCTGCAGTCGTCCTTACACTAATAAAGTAATCACACTATGGTACCGGCCTCCTGAGCTTCTGCTGGGAGAGGAGAGGTATTCTCCAGCCATCGATGTTTGGAGCTGTGGGTGAGTCCAGAACTGTCACGTCGTATGAGCTGATTGGAGCTGCATTACCTGTGTGTTATCTTACCTTCTAACAAAAGAAAACAGACAAAATAAAACCTGAGAGTTTCTAAAGTTTCAATTTAACCTATAGTTCTTTTCATTGTTGATTAATCTTTTAATTTTTTTCTCAACTAATTGATGAGTTTGGCTGATTGAATGTCAGAAGCTACTGAAAAATGTGCATCAGTGTTCCACAAAGACAACATCCTCACGTCAAACATATCTTGTTTTTTCCGCTACTCATAAATCGAAGAGGAAAGGAATCAAATATTCACATTTAAGAAGATAGAATCAGAGGATTTTGACCTTTATTGCTCTTAAAAATGTACTCAAGCTAATTAATTATAGGTCAAAATAGTTGACAACTAATCAATCACTCGTTGCAGCTCCAAATAACCCAAAAATATTCACTTTACTGTCATGGAGGAGGAAAGAAACCACGAAATATTACATTTTATTAGCTGTAATCTGAGATCTTTTGCTTTTTTTCAGAAAAATGACTCAAATCAATTTTAAAAAAACAGATTACATTAATAGTTGACAAGTAATTGATAAATCAGTTACCCTAATAGCCAAAGAGATTCAGTTTAGTGTCACTGCAGAGAGAAGAAAGCAGAAAATATTTACATTTACGAAGTTAGAATCAGAGAATTTTGACCTTTTTTGTTTTTAAATTGTCAAAATAGTTGACAGCTTATCGATTAATCGTTGCAGCTCTGAAAATCACAGAAAAGATCAAAGTAAATATATGAATACATGCAGATTTGGACTAATATAGTTTTGGATGACGCAACTTTTCGTCCAGATGAGTCCAGCTGCTTTAACACTTTCTCCGTACAGTAAATGCTGCATTAGCTGTTTTTTCCACCAAAAAGAAAAGATTCACAAATCACAATTACTCTCTCAGTCTCCCTCCTCAGTATCCTCTGTAGATACCAGACTTAAAATGCTTAGCGATATTATTTTTATGCCACGAGGAGGAAAACTTGACAGAAGAAGTAAATAAAGAACAGGTGTGTTCAGTATTTTTTTTTGTGCAATGTAAGCAAATGCAGTATTTGGAGAATTGTGGATGTTTGCAGCACACTGAGTCTGTTTCCTTTCTAATCTGGAGCCACTGTGGGGATCAGGAGGCGAATTTAGCTCAGTCAGCCGTGAGATAATTGATTTTCCTCTTTACCTGTGCGCTGTGCTGCCAAATTGAACTTGGTTCTGGACCGTTTTATGCAATAATTAATTTTTTAGGCAACAAGATTATTTGTGAACCTTCTTACTTCACTTTACATTTTCACAAAACTATAACGTTTGTTCAAATCGCATGCAGATGGTATCTACTTTATGTTTACTAATGTGAGAATCTAAAAGAAAATAATTGGAAGGTAGACTCATTCTGGGAAAAAAAGTGCTTTAAAGTAGCATTTAATTATTTAAATGTGTGTATGTTTTCTTACTTAGCCTACATCCTAATTTTTCTACATCTTGTCGTGACTCAGGTGTATTCTTGGAGAGCTCTTCACCAAGAAGCCCATCTTCCAGGCCAACCAGGAACTCCTACAGCTGGAGCTCATCAGGTAGAAAACACATCTGTAGACAGTCTCATTACAGCTAAACTGCATTGTCCATTAGGCTTTGAGGGAAACGTAACATCTGCCAGATTATGCTTGTTTGTGACGTATCACAAATGTTAATTTTGCCATTTTGGCCTGTACATCATGTTTTTACAATATATAATACAGTTAGAGAAAAGGAACACTGAATACCAGAGAGGGGACATCATTTGAAAACTTCCAAAAAGCAAAGCAAAGCAAAATCTAAAAAGAATTGCACAGTACCCCCCAAAAATGCTTCAAACAAAGCATAAAGGATCATATGTGAACCTCCTTCACCAGATAGTTTTGGTGCTTAAACACACTGACTGTTTATAAAAGAACAGCGAGAGGAAAGTTAAGATAAACAACAACTGAAAACCTAAGTCTGAGAATAGTGATCCTAATGGGTCATGAATCCTGGACGACTGAAGTCCTGTTGCTGACTTAGACCTTCTTATTCCCCTCCTCCTTTTTCATGTGGACTTTAAAGTGGAAGTCCTTGCTTTCCAGTCAGGGATTAATCAGAATGTAGTTTACTCGTGTAGGAACATATGGTTTCCCGGTAGTCAGCGCTGGACCCTGAGGAGAAGCTTCAAACATTTAGTATAATAGTTGTGTTTTTACCCAAACTGTGATGTTTTTCCTAAACCTAAGTGAGTAATTTTGATGCATTTGTCGTAAGAGTGTCAACCAAAGTGTGACATTTCCATTAACTTAACCTTGTAGTTCTTGTTCCCAAACCAAACAGAGAAGCAAAAGTAAACAACCACTCAAAGTGAAACTTAAGTCTGAGAATAATGTTCCTACGCAGGATGTGTGTTACAGAACATAAACAAGCATGCAGTTCACTTGTGTCGTCTTTTATTCATTGTTCTATTATCTCACGCTGATCGACTTTAAAGTTTTGCATTGTTTTGTGTAGTTTATTTATTGCTGTGTGGTTGTTCTCTTGATCTATTTCTGCCCAGGGACGTCAGCTGGTGCAGTTACTTTTAATTGTCCCTGCAAAATAAACAGATGAACTTGTAGAGGAACATCGTTTTTAGGAAACAGGAGAAGAACGTTGTAAAAGTCTCAACCAAACCGTGATATCTCTAAACTTATCCGTATAGTTTCAGTGTCCACACCTAGAAAACAGAAAAGCAAACAAGTGGAAACCAAACATAGATCTTTGTGGTTTTTTCAAACTAAAAGCCTTTCCTACAACTTCACAGTCTCACCTTCTATTTCAAAATAAAATACAAAAAAATGTAAGCATTAAACTGAATGCACTTCAGCTGTAGAGGAATGAAATTTTTGGAAACAGCAGTGCTCTTGTAATCCTTTCTTTTACAGCCTTGCTACCTTATTTCTTCACCCCTGACCTTGTCTCTTTTCTTCCAGCCGTCTGTGTGGGAGTCCCTGTCCTGCAGTCTGGCCCGACGTCATCAAACTCCCCCTCTTCAACACCATGAAGCCCAAGAAGCAGTACAGACGGCGACTGCGGGAAGAGTTTGCCTTGTATGTCGCCCTGCTGCACTTTCCTACAGTAGCTGTTGATCAGCCCTTTGTCTGGTTCTGCAGGTGAAATGTCTGTTTTCTTCAACACAGTTTACCGACTCCTGCCCTGGACCTGCTGGACCGAATGTTGACCCTCGACCCCGCACGCCGCTGCACATCGGAACAAGCTCTGTTCAGCGACTTCCTGTGTGACGTGGAGCCCAGCAAGATGCCGCCACCAGAGTCAGTAGCTCGAGGCAGAATATCAGCAGAGAGCTCGCATTTAACTTTCAGGCTTTCGTTAACACTCTAAACCCAAAGCAGTTCCTGGATGTTTTTATTTGTCACATTTTTCCCCCACTGTTTGCTCATTTTTCACTGCAATATAAAGTCCTGCACCTCTATGGAAACAGACCAACCATGAAGAAGGAGAGAGAACTCAGACATGTCTTCTGTGCAGCATGACACAGATAGAATTTTAAAAATCACAGAAAAACAATAAAAGGATTTTGATCGCTTATATTAAAAAGGTCGGAAAGTTTCCACAGGTGTTAGTAACACTGGAAAATACACAGTGGCTCTACAGATTATAGATACTTACTTGAATTAGCTTTTAAATGAGACATGAAAAGTAATTTTGATGAAATATTCTCATTTTAAGCTTAGATTTGGTTTATTTTGCTGAACGTGTCATAACAGTTGAGTAGTTCAAGACCCGTCAGAAGGTTAGAAATCAAACAACTTCTTGCTTGCACCAAGGAGTTCAGACTTTTGTGTTTATTTACGGAATTTTGTAATTACAAATTATTAGTTTTTGAGTCATTTTTAAATGGGACATACTGAATAAAAAGATTTCAAGCTTAGATTAGGTTAATTTTCCCAAAAGAAGTCTCAAATGATTAGTTTGAGGACCATCAGAAAGTTGAGGATTCTTTGTTTCTGCAGTGCTTGGCTCTGATAAATGGTGGGATTTTGGTGAACATTTGTCAAACCTGCCGGCTGATTCTGGGGTTCAGAGGGTTAATCAGTTTAGTATCAGAAGTGCATATGTTGTCGACTTGTGTTCAATAGATAAAATGCATATATTTACATTTTTACTAATTTCTGGTGCCCTTCTGTGTGTCCAGTCTTCCTCACCACCAGGACTGCCACGAGTTGTGGAGTAAGAAGCGGAGGCGTGCACGTCAGAGCGGGCTGCCTGAGGATGTGCCTGTGCCCAAAGTGCCCCGAAAAGATACGACCGGAACCTCCAGCGGAGAGAACAGTCGACCCCAAAGCAGCCCGACCGGAGCCCCGCCGCCTCCCCCAGGAAAGCCGCCCTCCACAGCCAACTTAGAGAGTGAGTTGTCAGGTAACAGACACCCTCAGTGGTATTTTACTAATAACGCTCTTGGACTTTTACTATTCTGCTAAAAATCTGTAAACACTACTCAGTTCATCTGTTCTTCTGCTTGTGTGTGTTCAGGTTTGGGAGCGGCCGCCGAGCAGCTGAACCAGACAGAGCTGGCGGTTCTTCTGAACCTCCTCCAGGGCCAGACGGACCTCAGCATGCCCCAGGTGGCCCAGCTCCTCAACCTCTCCAACCCAGAGACTCTCAGCCAGCTGCTGACGGCTCTCAACGAGGCCTCCGACCACCAGGGGGCGTCAGAGGACCAAGCCCAGCCCGCCGCCGCCAGCAGGCCTCAGCCCCCGGAGCCGCCTCCCGAGCCCCAGGAGCTCTCGCCCGCGTCCGGAGAGCCGCCGCTCAGCCAGGAAGACCAGGCCAACCTGCTGGCTCTCATTCTGGGCCACATCATGAAGCCGCAAACCGAGGAGCAAGACGATGAAAGCAATGGCGTTCAATCAGAGGAGGCACTAACGCGCGGTTCGTCCGCTTCTACTACTGATTGCAAGGGCAAGTCTGGGTTTAGTCTTTAGGGGGCAAAAATCCGATCGCACCAAGGTCAGTTTGAAACCATAGGAATGTGGAGAGCAGGGAAGGGAACAAGAAGCTGGATGAAGATTCCTATATACGCTATCAAGTGAATTATATTTTAGAAAACCTAATGAGTTCTGCAAAAATGACCAGTTATCCAAATAAATTAGATCTGTCCCTTCTTTTATTCCTGAAACACCGGTGACGCGCTCTCCCATCTTGCCCTGTTAGCACCTCTAGTATACAAAAACAGCAGAAGGAAGAATGTCTCCAGAGCTTAACCAGGTAAAGGCTGGTGCACACGGACATCGCTGGTGTACACAATAAACCAGAAGAGAGCATAGTGTTATTCATTTTAGTAAAAAAAAAAGAAATACGGAAGGTTCACACTGTATTGTTCCCACGTTTCTCCCTCTTCCTCGTTTCTTCCTCACGGTCTTTGTTTCTGTCCCATTTTTCCACATGTGTTTTTTCTTCCTCACTTCATTCTCATTTCTAAAGCAGGTGTCATGGATTCTTCAGAGAGCTTTGTTGCTTTAAACGGTCTGTAATGTCAGCCTTTTTATGAAGAAAAGTCTAATAAATTATCACGTGAAAATAAATGTTTTGAATCTTTAGATCTCACCTGCATGTGTTTCTTTTAACTTTTGGTTTGTCACACATTTTTTGTTTTTGTTTTTTTTGGTTTTTTTTGTTCACTCTGGGTCACGTATTAGTTTAAAATGTGAGTAGAAAGTTGAATAAAACTGTTGACTGTGCTGCTGACACTGGAATGGTAACTGGTTATTTCACCTGTGGAGGCCTCGGGAACCTTTACAGCCTTGTTTCACTTTGCACTGCGGTAATTCGGTGGGGGAAAAAAAACAGACTTTTGTGGTTTAATAATCTTGTCCTCACCTTTATAAGACTTAAAATTCTTCCACGTAAGTCACTCTATCTGTTGATGCCCTTATTCTCACCTACTTCCCCACATTTTTCCTTTGATTTACTGCCGTTTACTGCGAAGCCAGCTGCATCTGCTGCACATAAATTAATGCGTTTATTCGCTTTGCAGTGCAAAAATGCTTCACTGTGGTTAATAAACATTCAAATATTATCAACAAGTCACCTGAAAATAGACAAATATTTGACTTTTATTTTTAAAAAATTGGGATTAACTGCACATATGCAGGTTTGTGTTTATATTTTTTTCCTCACTGGGCAGAATTAACATTGTTTTAAGTTCTATTTTTTAGCATTTTTGTGCTTGTTTGCACAGTCACCGTAGGTTCACGACTGCAAAAATACCTTAGAACTGTGAAGATTCATTTAAAGTGCTCTGCCCTCCCTCTTGTGGTGAAGGTAGGAATGTCAACACTGTGTGACTGCATGAAAAATAATAATAATAAAAGCAATTTAGGTGCTAAAATTGGCAAATATAGTTGTGGTTCATGCGTAGCTTCTCAAAATGTTGACGTCAAAAGTGCCTTGATACCTAATGTTGTGTTTTTTTTGTCCCGTTTGGCCCCTTCAGATGGCGCAGTGTCCAAAAGGAAGCAGCTCGGGTCCAACCAGGCGCCTCCACCCGCAGACCAGCGTCCACCTTCTCCTCCCGGTCCTCCTCCGTCAGCCGTCCTCCTCGGGAACTCCCAGCAGGCCGCCTCGGAGACGCAGCCCAGCCAGGACATCAGCCCCGCCGTGGCCGCCGCCTTGCTGCAGCTCATCTCCCAGCAGGACTCGGACGCCGGGGCCTCGCAGCGCAGCAAAGACCCCTCTCCGGCGGTGGACGCCCCGGCCCGCGGGCAGCCTCCTCCGCCCTGGGTCGCAGACTCTCCGCCCAAACCCCCGGCCGCGGCTGAGGCTCCCACCGCCGCGGCCCAGTTCCCCAAAGACCAGGACCTCCGCTTTTCCCACGGAGCCGCCCGCTGACCCCACCCCCAAGGCAGACACCGGGTATCATGGGACAGCGATCCTGGCCTGCAGGGAGAAAGCAGAGGGGCACCTACAGAGTATGTCTCACTGGACCATGAGCAGGTAGTGCATCAAAGATTTTGAAAATGAATGTCTGATTGAAAGAGATTTTTCAGGTACGGTCGGGAACGTCTCTGCCCTCTGAACATGTGTTGGTGGTGGTGATGGTGGTGATGGTGGTGGGAGAGTCTTAAACAATCCACCTGCAGATATCTTTCCTCTACGCTGAAGGGACTTGAATGAAGTGTAGCTTCCAGCTCGGCTTCAAAAGCAGCTCCTTGTTTCGCCCACAATCAAAACGATTGTCACGTCCACTGCAGTGCCCGTTTCTTTGGAGAACGAAGGAGGAAGTTTTCTGTCGAACCTCACATGTTTTAGCGCCCCGTGTTTTCAGCCTCGTGCCTCCGTTGTGACCCCCCCCCCCAATGATCTCGGTAAAGTGTTCGCTCTGGATGGCACCTGCGCACACCTGTTTTTGTTTTATTTCACTCAAAGCTCTGAAATTCTGCCTCCCATCAACTAAACTCAACTGTGAAAAAAAAAAAAAACACCATTGTGTCGTAACAATCCTAAACCTGTAGTGCTCATGCAACGATTTAAACCACCACAATATGCCGGACTGCTCCATAACACACACGCTATCCCGCTAGGTGAGATATAAAACTAGAATCACACACAAACACTGACTTTTCCAGCTTTTCCCAATGGGCTTTGAACGCCTCGTCTAAAATGTCTCCCTCCCCCTGCCAACTTTTGCAGCAAAAGCTTTTTTTCTTTTTCTTCCTCTTTTTTTTTTGGTGCGGTTATTTTCTACATAAAGAAAACATGCTTAAAAAAAAAAAATAGTGGTCAGTTGTTCTGTTTCCATTTTTTTTTTTTTGCTTTGGAAAAAGAGAAAAAAAAAATTGGGGGGGGGAGGAGAAGATGGTGTCTGTAAGCATTTTGTAAAAATGTGTTTTCTTGGTTCAGTTGATTAAAGGAAGTTATGCGACCAGCTGAATTTGTCTCTCCTCCCGTTTTCTGGATGTTTCTGTGCGAAGCGGCCACTAGATGGTGAGCATTAACTCAAAGTCAGGTCGGGGCCTCCGCCGAGAGTGGAAGTTGAAACCTGCAGCGTGGATGGAGTCATGCACCCGGATGCAAATGATTTTTATGATCTGACATCTCAGGCTGCTTTGACTGAAAACACATCAAGTGAATAAAGCCACTGATCACACAAGGACACCAATAAAATGAGCAAAAAACACGCATAAAATCAGCTAAAGAATAAGAAATCATGCAGAATTACATCTTAAAACGATTTGACGAGAATGTTTGTTAGCTGCTGATTAATCCTTTTTATAGCATCCAAAATTATTTGTCTTTTTTTGGAATTTTATGAATTTTTTGCCAGTGTTTTGGCAAAATCTGCAAAATGTGCTTTTACCAGACACACAGTAATCTGCTTATTATCGTGCCTGGAGCTGTAGCTTTAAGTTTAGACATAAAATAGACAATAAAATAAAGATTTAAATGGCTACAGGTTAGTGCAGTTTAATTTATAAAGCACAGTAGGTTTAATAAACATCCTCCTGGACACAGACAGATCTGTAAAGTACAGTATACGAATCAATCAAAAATTGCATCAGCTCACAGAAACTGCATTATCTCTAAGCTGTAGTTTGACTATTAAACATCCAGGATGCAACAATAGTCACTGAGATTCCGTTAACCTTTAGTTTTTGATGACGCGTTCGGTTCTCCTCAGCATCGAGGATACCAAATGTCTGCAGGGATGTTCTGTCATTCATCCTTCTCCCGGCTGCTCTTTTGCTGCAGGGCTCGTGTTGCTCCACCTCTCGCTTTAAAAATACCTCAAAGGTGTTCCGTGACCTTTCCACTTTTCTTGTGCTTCGGATGGTTTTCGTGCTGGAATATTCCTCCTCTTCATGCTTCTGCAGACTGGGGGTCGTCTTATCTGCCAGTGTTTTGGTTCGTCCACAGACAGTCATGGTGCATCTGTAACCTCCGTGCTTCACTGTCAGGACGATGCATTCACTGTGTTAGTCCTGATCACACCAAACATGCTGGACTGTAGCTTATCTTTGACTTGTCTGACCAAAGAATGAGTTCCCAACAATTATCAGGTTATTTTTTTTAAAAGAAAAGTTTCATGTTGACGTTTTGTAATGAGCAGTAAGAAAGGGAACTCCCTCCATAGCGGTGTGTGTCTGATTTCCAATAACAAGCCCTGGTGCCAAGTCTGAAGCAGCTGGTTTTCAGAGTTGGATCATGAAAGTAGTTCGCTGTCGGTGGCGTTATTTTAGCTGGACGACCACTGCAGCTCTGATCAGTGGTACTATGGCTCCTTCTGAACCTCCTGATTACTGCTGACACTCTGTTTCCACTGATTTTCCTGTGTCCTTTTCCATCTTGAGATTTTTTTCTTACCATTCTTTGCAGACAGATACATAACATTAACCTGTTTGTAGCTCATTTTAGAACCATGTTAATGCACTTTGACTTATTTAGAATCACAGGTGGACTCAGTTTAATTTATAGGAGTTCCCTTTTTAAGTTTCTAATTTGGGACCTGAATCTTCCATATAATCTCTCTAAAGTATTGGTTTGTGGTCGTCCATAAGAGCAAATACTGCAGACATGCAGACAGACATGGCCCATAGGTTTAAAACTGATAAAGTTCTGCTGCTCATTTTCTAACCATTTCCATGCAGTCAGACTGATTGGAAATCCCAGACAGGCTTCTTTGGGACCTCTATTTTCAATATAATCTTTCTAAAGCGTTTTGCTTTTGATTGTTGATAAGAGCAAATACTTTACAACTTAGAAACAATGCAGTTATTGAGAGAATAGGACATCTCAGTGATATTTCAGGGGGATGCACCAACTTCTGTCGTGCCTCATTCTGGCCCAGTCGCACACCGATATGAAGTGCTCCCTGTGCATAAATCTTCTTTATATGTTTATTCCTTCACCACTTCGGCTGATCTCTTTATGAAGATCCTGACAGGCAGACAAGGATCATAAACTGTACGTTGGCAGACGCTTGCGAGGTTTCATGCAGGACTGGCTGAGTGTGTTTTTTTGTGCGTGTATGTGTGTGTGTGTGTGCTGGATTGGCTTCATGCATACCCAGGACCAGCTCCTCACTTGGCAGCCTTACAGAGCCGCTTACCCCTCTGGCCCAGCGAGCAGCTGAGCCCTCTGGGTGAGGATCCTTTCAGAGTGGAGGCAGTGGGAGGCTCACCTGCCCTCTAGCACCGGCCCAGTGTGTGTGCGCTCGCATGTTTCCGTCTGATGCTTTCGCCCGTCGGGACTCCAAATAATAGTGAATGTGCCCGCGGGGAGTTTCCTCAGGAGAAGTGGTGGGCAGCGTCGGTGCCAAGTCACAGAGACCAGACGAATAAATCAGGAGCGAGCAGTGACGAGAGGGAGGCGCACCATCAATCAGAAAGGCACCTTATGGGGAATGCCCATAAATGTGCCATGTTGCCAGTCTGAAGCACGTAGCCGCCATGGCAGAGACAGGCGACGGCGGCGGCATTCAAAATGGAGCCTCTATTTTGGATGCCGGCACTTTTCGCTGTCAGCTGCAGTGATTCTGGTGGACGTCCAGACGGATAGTGAAGTGACTGACAGTCCGTTTAAAGCCAAATTGTATTCATGTGTTTGGGTTTTTTTTATTTATTTTTTTTGTCTCTTCCTCCCTGCAAAGTGCAAATTTGCAATCCAGCACACTTTATCATCATATCAGCAGTGTGATAGCCCAGCCTTTGTCCACTATGTCAAATCTGGCAACCTTGAACAAATAGCATCCCTCGCATCACACATCTGCTTGGACCCCAAACGGCAACAAAGAGCACTTAGGAGTGAGCATCCTTCTGCTTAAATGCGGACCAGCTGCTAGACAAAAATGCAAAATGCCACTTTTTTTTTTTTACAGCAGCCAATCGCGGTTTATTTTGTTTTTTTTGTGTGTGTGTGTGGGTTAAAGTCGTGACCTTTGCTGCAGCTAAAACTTTCTTATTATCATTTTTTCCTCACCAACTTGCCACAGGGACCGATGTAGGAATCTAAATCTAAAAGGCCTGGCGCGTCAGTCTGTCTCAACTTGTGCTACATTTTAATTTGGCAGCAAACTCAGGATGCAAGAAAGAGAGGAAAAGAAAGGAAGAAGCAGCTAGGTGAAGTGGGAAGCTTGATGGACAAGCAAAGAGGGCAACCACAGGAACGAAGTAAGCAACGCAATCCTGCATTTTAATTTCCTCAAAAATTATTTAACACGGCTTTTGGGATTTGCAACTAGTGCAGGCTTCTGCAGAGGCAACATAATTACACTGTAAAAAAAAAAAAATGAAAGAATTTCTTTTAACAATTTATACTTATTTTTACAGACTTCCCTGTTTTGGTAAATTACAGATAATAACTATCAAAATCAAAGAAATCACATAATTTCCAGGCCAAATGTGTTACTTTCCACATCATTTGTACCTTCAACTTGTTCTTTTACAGCGTTTGACCATGAGAAAGAAAAAAAAATCCCACTCTGTATTTACATTAGCAACAACTATTAGTATTTGACAGGTATTTGCTATTATCTGAAACATAAATTATGTATATTAAGGATTGAAAAATGGTGAGTAACTCATGAAACTATTATTTTACAGTAATTTTGATAAATTACAGACATTTTCTGGTAAAATTACAGAAGAAAAACTGCTGACTGTAAACAAACACAAAACAGTTCATAACATCCACATCAAAAATCACAAGTTTTACAAATCATTATTTTTTTTTTTTGCATTTTGGGCCCTTAATTTCTTTTTTTTTCTGTTTTTTAATTCGGTTCCATTTTTATTTTTTTTGTTGCTTTTTTTTTAAACAAATAAATATATATTTCAAGCTTTAAAAAATGATAAATAATTCTTTAAACTCTTGTTTTATATTTTTTGTTTTGTAAAATTCCGAAACACTCTTGTAAAATTGTAGAAAAATGTTATTTTTACATGTTGACTGTAAAAAGGTCAAAACTGGAAATAACGTCCACATCAAAAATCAATAAA